CCTTGCCCAGGGTGGGGGGTGGAACGAGATGATCTGTAAGGTCCCTTCCAACCCAAACCACTCTGTGATTCTGTGACTCAAGGGTGCCAGGGCTGGTGTCACCCCACTGAAACGGGGATGGCCCAGAGGAGATGGCAGTTCTTGGCAGCTTTCCACACAGTGATGTGAAGCTGGGATCTGCCCAAGGGTGATTCGGCATCTCACGCCCACGTCCCAGAGGGGCGTCTCGCTGCGGGGACCGAAACCTCGACCTAAGCGGGATGAACCCGAGACCAAAGCCATACTACAGAGAACAGCAACGGGGTTCTCTTCTCCTCTTCCCAAACTCCAGCAGACTGACAGGGCCGTATTCCCAGGAGGGGGCTGGCCGTGGCAAGCCCAGCAAGGGGACTCTCCAGCCCACCACTTACAGCATTCCCAGTACTTACAGTGTAACCCCACAGCTACCAGAGTGTTCCAAAGGTGCTGATCTTCGGTTGCCATGAAAACTAATATCCCCCAAATTTGAGGAAGCAGGTCTGCTCTGACTTCCCAGCTGCAAAACTAATACTCATGACTAAAAATCATAACAATTGACTCATGTTGCTGCGCGTTCCTGCAGTAAATGGAAATATTTATTCCTCACAAAAAAAGTCCACCTTATCCTCTGCAGAATGTGGGATAGAAACAGCTCAGCCAAACAAAACATGGAAGATGGGCTGGCTGTTAGGTACCCACCAGTGCTGCACTAAGGCTTATTCTGCACAGAAAGTGAAAAACAAAAATAGATTTGCAGGGAGAACAGACTGATCTTGCAAGAACAGATGAAATTCTCCTGCTAAACAGGCGCATCAGCCCTATTACAGCAGCAGTCAGCTAGAGAATAACGCAAAAAACCCGAAATCCTGAATTCTGCAGAGCAGCTGGATAACCAGAAGGGCTCATCAAACCCTCTGACGAAACAGGAGCTACGCTGCAGCTCACACCCACGAGTTAGATTTCATTAATAAAACATTCACAGAACGTGAAAGCATCTGTGCTTGATTTATACCATCACCCCTAAGGCTGCCTACAAAACGTGATTGCATGATGTTTGTGTTTAAGATCTGGAAGCAAATCTGACCAGTCTATGTTTTATCACCTCACAGATAACAACAGCGATGTGTTGGGGTTTTTTAACTATTAAAAAATACATTGGGTGATCCCAAGAATAAGTTTTCAGTTGCCTGGTTCTTTTAACCCCCATTTTTTATCACAAAAAAAGGTGGAAGGGGAAAGGAGGAGACACGATTTCAGCTTTCAGTCTTTGCAGAGGACACGCTGCAGCTGGGATCTGCTGGGACCCCGGACGCCTGCAGACAGAGCACAGAGGAGCTCAGCTCCAGGCAACCCCGGCCCTGCGGCGAAGGGCTCTGTCAGCTGCGCAGCCTCGGGGACGTCGAGCAGCTCTCGTCCAGCTCCCTGCAAACACGAGCATTTCAGAGCCTGCACCCCCTCACGGACCTGCCATCCCCACAAAGCCTGTGCCGACAATGCCGGCTCCACCAGGAAATGCCATGCGGGGCACAGGGACAGGCCAGGGGCCAGCAAGTCGAGGGAGGTTCTCCTCCCCCTCTGCTCTGCCCTGCTGAGGCCCCATCTGCAGTGCTGGGTCCAGTGCTGGGCTCCCCAGGCTGAGGGAGCTGGGCTTGTTCAGCCTGGGGAAGAGAAGGCTGAGAGGGGACCTTAGAAATGTCGATAAATATCTGCAGGGTGGGTGTCAGGAGGACGGGGCCAGACTCTTTGCAGTGGTGCCCAGCGACAGGACAAGGGGCAACGGGCACAAACTGAAGCCGAGGAAGCTCCAGCTGAAGATGAGGAAGAACTTCTTCCCTCTGAGGGTGATGGAGCCCTGGCCCAGGCTGCCCAGAGGGGCTGTGGAGTCTCCTTCTCTGGAGATATTCCAACCCCGGCTGGACGTGGTCCTGTGCATCCTGCTCTGGGTGACCCTGCTTGGGCAGGGGGTTGGGCTGGGGGATCTCCAGAGGGCCCTGCCAACCCTGCCATGCTGGGATCCTGTGATTCCGTGTCATGCCAGCGCTGCCCGGGTTCAGTGGCACAAAGTCTCACTGCTGACTGCCCTCCTCGGGGAAATAAAACCCAGGGTTGATTCCCACCTCCAGCATTAAACTGGACTATAGAAACAAGCCAAGGGGAAACAGAAGAACCGCGTCCCCCTCTCCCGGTAAAATCCCAAAACACTGCCTGCAGCACTGATGCGGCTCAGGGCCATCCCGGTGACCATCGCGGTGCTGCTGGTGGTCCCAGCCATGCCAGACCTTCCGGAGTCCTGCAAGCATTGCTCGCAGCAAGCGAGGCCAGTCCCATGCAGTCTGCCTTCCCTTCCCGTCCCCTCCCTGCTGCGGACGGCGGCACAGGGCAGACACACTGTTTCCTCACTGGCCTGGCAGGGCAGAAGATGAAGCACCCGGTTTGGTCAAGTTGTTAATTTAACCACACAGCCCCAACTGAGACCCATCTGCCTCTAGGATCCATGGGTTCCCTTCCTCCCACCGTGACACCCTTGAGAAAAACGTAGCGACTGCCACCTGAGCGGGTCTCCTGCCAAACCCCATCGGCTACGTCCAGGCGGCCGCTGTGGTGTGGGCCGGGTGCCAACATCCTCTTCTGCTCAGCCAGAGATGCAGGCACAGCGGTGGAAACCCTGCCTGGACCAAGTACACATGGCCCCTGGGTCACCAGAGCTTCCTCCCACTCCTCCCCCCACCCTTCCCGCTCAGCCCTGTCAGCGCAGGCTGATGTGGCAGAAAAGCTTCTCTGCCCTGTGACCCTGCCGCTTCTATTTTTGCTTTTGATTGGAAATTTTTACTCCCCTGCCCCCACATCCCCTCTTCATCGCTGGCAGATCTAGGTCAAGGCTGTTCAGACGCTTGCCACAATTTAGGCAATGCGTCTCTCCAACCACAGCCATTTATTTCCAGATTTCTTTGCTTATTTTGACTATTTTTTAACAGTGCCGTTAAGATTTTATACAGAAGGAAGGGAGACACATCTGAACCTTTGTAAATTAATGAAACAGAAAAAAGCACGGGCTGCCCACGTAAGACACACGTGTTGCGGGGGGAGCACAGCACCCCACATCCCGCCACTGCCACCCCCGTCTTTCACAGCCCCACGGGGTGACCAGGGACAGCCACCAGTATCTACTGGGCTCCAAAACCACGGACGCTGGGCTTTGCTAGGCTGCTCCCGCCCTCCCCACCGGCTCTGCTCCCAGCTCCCTGCGGTGCGGGGCACGAGGCACCTTCCTTCGCACCCGTCGCTGGTGGGGAGACCCCTGTGCGCCCCTGATCCGGAAGCGACGTCCGCTGCAGCCCCGAGGCTCGACGTAC